GGGGGGGTACCTTGCTGGGAGCGTCTTCGTTGGCCTCTTTGATGATGCGTCCCTTGCCGATGGGCACTGCAGTGCCCTTGGTGGGCATCTCGTCCAACCCATAGCTGAGATACAATCGATGGATGGATGGCACCACATGGCCCACAGACGGCGGGGGCGAGATGCCCAGCGTGTTTCTTCCTCACTTGAAGTGTTTGTTGAGGTACTCCAGGCCATATCCGTTGCCGCGAGGATACCGCACGGCCGACGGCTTGTCATCGATCTCATATGCAGTCTGATCCGCACACACACGCACACACACACGGGCGTGCACATTCGCGTGTGCCGTTGTCACAGGCAGTGCAGTGGCTGTAGAGGTCAGCACTGACCTGGATGTGGTTCATGAGTTCGACCTCATCGCTGGGGGCCATGATAACCAGGTCGGGCAGAGTGCCCAGGTAGGCCAGGTCGAAGGAGCCGTGGTGCGTCGCACCGTCGGCGCCCACCAACCCGGCACGATCCAAAATAAACCTGCAAAACACAGAGGTGGAGGGTGTGCATTCCAATCTACAGAAGCGGGTGCAGGGTTGTGGCGTGGCGTACCTGACGGGCAGCCTTTGGAGGACGCAGTCGTGTATGACCTGGTCGTATGCCCTCTGCAGGAAGGTCGAGTAGATGGCGCAGAAGGGCTTGATGCCCTCACACGCCAACCCAGCCGCAAAAGTCACCGCATGCTGCACACCACACAGGATAGGCACAAATCAATCAGATGCCACCCACCCACCCACACAACACATGTGCAGCGTGTTTGTCTCACCTGCTCGGCGATGCCGACATCGAAGGTCCTCTGGGGGAACTTCTTGGCGAACTGCGCAACACCCGTCCCGCCAGGCATCGCAGCCGTTATCGCAACCTAAACACACGCACACACACACACACAGAGAGAGAGAGAGAGACCGATCGATGACGTCCCTCACACCACACCACACCCAGGGCAGCGCAACCATACCACTTTGGGGTCCTCTGCAGCGAGTCCAATCAAGGTGTCTGCAAAAATTGAGGTGTAGCTGGGGGCGACCGTCTTGGGCTTGTGCTGCTTCCCGGTGGCGATGTCGAAGGGCCCCACGCCGTGCATCTTGTCGGACGCCTTCATTGCCGGAGGGTAGCCATACCCCTTGTCGGTCTTGACGTGCAGCACGATCGGCTTGGTCGTGTCGGTCGTCTTGAAGTTACGCAGGATCGGCACCAGGTTGTCCAGGTCGTGGCCGTCGACTGGACCGACGTAGTAGAAACCAAGCTCCTCGAACAGGGTGGCACGCTCGCCGCTGACGAAACCACGCGCGTACTCGTCGAGACGCGCACTCACATCCTACACACACACACACGTGGATGATGCAGGCACACACACACACAGATAGAGAGAGAGAGAGAGAGGGGTGTGTGGGGAAGGGGAGTGTTTCGTACCTGGATTGGTTCAGGGAAGAGTTTAGAGAAGCCTTTGGCGACCTCACGGAAGTTCTTAAACCGCTGAGACGACAGCAGGCGGGCCGTGTAGCCCGACAAGGCACCGGCCGGGTCAGTGCCGCCTGCAAATGAAGGAAGCATCAAGACACACACTGGGTGCCCGCTGTCCGTCTGTCCGTCTGTCTGTCTGTCTGACCAGCTGAGGCAGTGCCGGTGGGCAGCGAAACCTGTCCGTTGTCGTTGAGGATGACAATCATGCGTGACTTGAGGTACCCGCAGTTGTTCATGGCCTCGTACGCCATTCCGCCGGTGATGGCGCCATCCCCGATAACCGCCACGCAGTTGTTCCTCTTCTTGAACTGCAGGCTCCGCCCCACTGACATGCCCTGCGCGGCGCTGATGGAGGTCGACGAGTGGCCCGCACCGAAGGCGTCAAAGGGCGACTCGGACCGCTTGGCAAACCCCGACAGGCCGTCCTTCTTCCTTATCGTCAACATGCGATCCCGCCGACCTGTCAGGATCTGAACAGACTCAGACAGACAGACAGACAGACAGACAGACAGGCAGGGAGACAGTGAGTGTCTGAAGGTCAGTCATGTGTCGTGTCCGTGTGTGGAAGGGTGTACCGACCTTGTGGCAGTAGGCTTGGTGGCTGACGTCCCAGACAATGCGGTCATCTGGCGCGTCGAACACGTGGTGCAGCGCTACCGTCAGCTCCACCACGCCGAGCGATGCGCTGAGGTGGCCGCCCGTCTGTGACACCGTCTTGATGACCTCCCACCTGACCTCATTCGCCAGCTGCTTAAGCTCCGGCAGCGACATGCCCGTCATGTCAGAGGGCGACCGCACTCGGTCCAGGAGGGGCGTGGAGTGCGGCATGTGGAATGACGCCGAGTGGGGGGAGGCGGATGCATGGACGGCAGTCCGCCGCTGTAGGCGCGGCTGCTGGGTCCTCGAGGGAGCGGGGGAAAGCGGCGGGGTGGTGTGGGGGACGAAGCATTGTGCCACGCTGACGAGGAGGGCGATGGTGAAGAGAAGGATGGAGGCCTCCATCGTCAAAGTCAAGCGGCGGTGTCTTCCTCCCTTCCACACTGGTGCAGCTAACTGCAGACAGACTCGATTGCTGAAGGAAAGAGGACGGCGCTAAGGCATGCAGTGTGCACGCACACCTGCTCAGCGGGACAAGCCTCAAACACGCGGATCTGATCTGCGTCCAGTGGTGCGAGCTTAGCCGGCCGAGGGAAGATCCCGCAACCATCTTTCGTTCGAAGCATGGCGTCACCGCCAAGCCACCTCTGTGTGTGGATCTTCCCGTTATGCGTCGTTTGGTTATTGCTCTTGGCCACACACCTGTCCGCCTTCGCGCCGCCTTCAGCCGCGCAGACACGGCAGCCTCTCCTACACAGGAGGACACACCTACAGGAGCCGCTCCGCCACGGCCACGGCCACCCAGCAGCTGATTTTAATGGCCCCTCAGGAGGCAGGCGGCACGTGCATGTCGAGACGGCCCTGAGCGCGTCCGCCAGTGGTGCTGCTGCCGCGGAGGAGGCCGGCGATGCAGAGAGGCGAGGGGAGGTTGACCGCCTACTGAACGTGCTGGAGGACGGGGCGCTTTTCAAGAACGTCAGTGCGCCGCTGATCTTCGACGCGCTGTCGCAGGTGGAGCGGCAGACGTCTGTGGGTGAGGCGTTCGTGTCTGACCGTGCCAGCGAGGTGTCTGGCGGGCCGCTGGGCCACCAGGGCGGGCAGGCCATCGACGACCAGACCTTCTCCGTCATCTACACCAACACGACGTGGCTGCCCTTCATGAGAGGATACCTGTCGGTGCCGGCCACTGCGCGTCTCACGTGGGTCGAGGACACCCAGTTTGAGCTCAAGCTCATCCCCACCAGCACCACCAGGCAGCCGGAGCACGTCGTCAACATCCACCAGGTGCGATGCCTCATGTATGAGCCCGTCAACGGCGTCCTGGCGCTGGCCACCTTCGAGAACACCCCCTCGTTCTTTCTCCTGAGGCGGAAGGATGCTACCCTCGATGACCTGGTCGTCTCACTGGGCGGCCCCGTGCAGTTCGAGAAGATCGCCGAGCAGGTGCTGACGGACTCGCTCGTCGCCGCCATGGACAGTGACACTGACACTCTGGCCTCCTCTGCCTCTGCCTCTGCCTCTGCTGCTGGTGGGGGGAAGGGGGATGCATCGCGAGAGGGGGAGAGGGAGGAGGAGGGCACTCCGGCGGCGGTGCTGCGTGCGACCAAGTACGTGGAGGATGCGGTGAGGTTCCGCGACGCCCAGTGGAAGGGCGACAAGGTGGTGGCGCATTTGAAGGTCATCGAGAGCTACAACGAGGACCAACGGAGGAGGAAGGCAGAGAGGGAAGCGGCAGCAGCAGCAGCAGGGGCGTACGAGGCGCCTTCCCCGCCTTCGCCGGAGATGGCCTTCTTCAGCCGAGTGGTCAACAAGCTGATCGAGGACTCGGCAGCAGAGGGGTGGTTCTGTGTGGGCGCTCTCCGCGACTGCCCCCTCTCCACAGAGGCTGCCGACACCTCCACCCCCACATCCATATCCACATCCACAGAGACCAGCGACAGCATTCCTCCTTCCCGCGCCCTCTCGTGGCCGTTCTTCGCCGCTTTGCCGGTCTTCGGCATGGGCGTGCGGTTTGACGTGTCGATGGAGGAGGAGGAGGAGGGTGTCGAAGAAGCGGCGGATGGTGCTGATGATCCGCTGGTGAGGCTGCAGATGAAGACGCCCTCGTGGCTGCCTCCGTCTGACGTGACGGGTCGGGTGGTGCTGGGGTCGAATGGCAACCTCGCCATTCATGTGGACGGGGGGTACCTCCTCTTCAGAAACGTCCGATTGGTGAGGGAGTGGGTGGGTGGGCCGGCAACGAGGGATGGGGTCATGGGTGTCAGGCCAGGCTGATGACGTGTGTGTGTGTGTCTTATCTGTCATGGTTGTGCAGGAGCGTCTCCGTCGCCACGCGAATGCGCGCCGTTACGCGCAGGAGATCATGGATCTGGAGGCCAAGGACCGAGTCTACACACAGAGGGACAACCTAGCAGGTCACTTAGCCCGGGCACCCACAGCAAACACAGCACTCACACACCCAGACACAGACCCACACATGTCTTGTTTGTTGGCGTGTGTCCACCAGGGTACCGGTCGACCCGTGCCGCATGGGAGAAGGCCCTCGAGAAGCTGGACGAGCGGCTGGGGACGTCGTTCGCGCGGTCGCAGCAGCTGCTGGAGGTGGCGCCCTTCCTCCCCATCATCCTCGTGGGGCTGCTCATATCGGCACAGGTGGCCGACAAGACCATCATAGAGAAGCTCCTCTCGCCCAAGGAACTGCCCCTCTATCGCATGTTCGACGACTCACTTCACCTATAGCCAGTGGCTATAGGGCTATAGGGGAGGGAGTGAGAGAGGGAGAGCGGGGGCGGAGAGAGAGGGGGGACGGATGGAGGCAGCGGCAGCATGTGTGTGGGGGGAGGGTGGTGTGTAGTGTAGTCAAGGCGGTGTTCGATAGGCGAAAAGGGGAGTGAGTGTTTCGAGGGAGGCAGACCCCCATCTGTGTGTGTGGCGTGGCGAAGGGTGGGATGGGATGGGTGTCCGTGTGCGAACGAAGCGGTCAGTCAGTCAGTCAGCTGCCTGCTGACTGATCAAGGGAGTGAATGTGTGTGTGTGGTTGGGTGGCCAGGCTGAGTGAGGCTGAGTGTGTGGCTAACTCCCCTACCAGGCAGATGATGTTGTATTGTATGTCACTCACGAATGGCTTCGTTGCTTTTGGTTGATCACGGTTCGAGGAACGCCGCGTGTGCAGAGGAGGGAGGGAGAGGACATCGATGCAGCAGGTCGCTCGGGTGAGTGATGCGTGTCTGTGGATACACGAGGACAGGGAGGCCGGGAGGCCGGGGAGGGAGGGAGAGAGAGAGAGGGAAGAGAGAGTGGCGCGCTCACCATTTTTGTTCCCTCCCTCATGTCTGTCCTGCATACCGATGGATGGATGGCATGGACGATGTGTGTACCATACATAGCTATGCATAGAGGATACAGTCAGTGGTGTTTGTGTGTAATCGGATCAATCGATGGGGGCGGGGCGGCCCAGGGGTCTCTCCCCTTTTTGTTTTGGACGGAAGAGCCCAGCCCGTGTTGGCTGCCTGCCTGCCTGATGTTTGTCTGTCTATGTGTGTGTGTGTATGTGCATATTATTATGCGTGGCGTGTGTGTTGTGTGTGCGGCCGTCTGTCTGTCTGTCTGTCTGTTATGTAAGATAGAGCTAACCTGCATAGCCACGCACGCAGACACACACGCTCTTTCCCCTCAATTGGTATGTGTGTGTGTGTTTCTCTGTCTCTGTCTCTGTATGTCTGGGAGTGAGGTCATCTCATGCATCGATTGCAATGGGGGGGCACACACAGAGAGGAGGGCATAGGGCAAAGCAAAGGGGGAAGGAAGGAGAGTTTGTGGAGGGTGTGGTGTGGTGTGGTGTGGCGTCCGCCAGTCAGCCCGCCAGCCAGACTGAGTCAGTCAGCTGTCTGTGTATATGTGACGTCATGTGGTGTGCCTGCTGTCCTGTCCAGAGAATGACAAGGACCAGGAGAGGCACACGGCCGTGGCTGAGGGAGTGTGGGAGGGAGAGAGTGAGTGAAAGAGTGTGGGTCAGTCAGTCAGTCGTTCACTCCCAGAAAGGCAGGCAGTCAGGCGGGCCGGAGGTTTTAATTTGCATCGAGTGACTGAGCGGTTGGGTGAGCGCGGTGTCACGCTTGGCGTGTATGTCTTATACACGTCTGTCTGTCTGTCTGAATAGCAACTCCGATGGATGGATGGAAAAGATGAATGAGCCACGATTATTACAAAAAGGCTGTCCTGCTTCTGACAGTGTTGCTGTCATCCTGCTGGTGATAGGCTCGTAAAAGGAATTCCTCGGATTGCGAGCTGTCCTTTCTCCGACCCCCCCTTTCCCCCCCTTCCTTTTGACTCAATGAGGCACTCGGCTCCTGGAGAAGCCCCAGCTGCGGTCTGATTGCTTCTTCTGACACGTCTTTTGTCGTCGTCCGGTGGGGTAGCGTGACGCGCCGTCGCGCTGAGCGCCGTCCGCCATCATTCGTTTCCCTTTTTCTCTCCCGAAGCGTCCGCAACCGCCTCGTGCGCCCTTGCCCGCCAATCATCAGCGAGAGGCAGCAGGGGCCGAGAGAACTGACATGGGCGCCTGCTGCAGCAGCCAAGGGGCGCAGCAAAAGGCGACAGCCAAGAGGACAGCAGGTGCAGCAACTGGAGGACCAGCAGGAGCAGGGGCAGCAGCAGCAGCACCAGCAGCAGCAGCAGGAGGGCCACCGTCGAGGCCAGACGACTTGTCACCTCCCAGCGAAGTGAGGGACATCGAGAGCAGCGCGACGGCCAGCCGAGGGGGGACAAGGAAGCCGCCACAGGAAGGCCGGTCGGCGAGGCCACTCGAGTCTGCTCCGCTGCCCGCCAGTGCCCTGCCGGTATCTCGGCTGCCTGTCCCGAGCCCGGACATGAATCTGTCTGAGGAGAATGGAGCCTCCAAGAGGGGCGGTGACGATGCAGAGGAGGACCCCTCTATCTTCCTCGAGTTCTCCCCGCGCAACGCCAGCAACCGCATCGATGTCTTCACACACCCCGAGAAGCCGGCGCCGCTCAGCGACCAGGACAAGGAGAGGATGGTCAACCAGCTCATCAACATCACCCACCTCGATCGCGGCGAGGCGCTGAGTGCCCTCGAGTCGTGCAATTTCGACATCGACGAGGCAGTGGGGTTCGCCCTCGCCGCGGGGGCATCGCCCGCAATGGCCGGCGCCTCGCGGTCCGAGCTGGCCAAGCGGCAGAACCAGATTCTCCCCTCCCACCTGAAGCGTTCGCAGACGGTGTCTGAGATTCTTCTCGAGTCGTCGATAGTGGGCCAGTATGTGATGCTGCCGTGGAACGAGGCGGACGCCGACATCCGCCACAACTTCTACTACGAGCAGGCGGCGAGTGACGAGAGGCGGCGGGGGGCGCGGCTGCCCAACAGCGAGCTGTTCACCGACCCGGAGGGGCAGATCACTCTGTCGACGCGGCAGCAGCAGCGGTTCCACGAATGGCGCCGTGTGCGGAACGCCATCAACGAGCCCGTGATTGTGCTGGACCGGCCGTCGAGCCAGTGCATCCGTCAGGGCTTCGTGGGCGACTGCAGCTTCCTGTCGTCCTTGTCGGTGCTGGCCGAGTTCGAGAACAAGTCGTCCATTCCGGTGCTGACGGGCCTCCTCTACCCCCAGGTGTCCCACAGCGACGCCAACCGCATCCTGCCGGTCATCAACCCCAAGGGCATGTACGCCTGCCGCCTCTACTTCAACGGAGTGCCGCGCCGGGTGGTCATCGACGACCACGTGCCGGTCCGGCGGGACGGCAAGCTGCTGGCGGCCCACTCGTCCAACAAGCGGGAGGTGTGGGTGACTCTGCTGGAGAAGGCCTTCGTCAAGATGATGGGCGGCTCCTACTTCATGCAGGGCAGCAACCCCGGATCAGACCTCTACCACCTCACTGGGTGGATCCCCGAGACCATCCCCTTCAAGGCCGACGTGCACATCGAGGGCGAGGACCCCCAGCCCCACCCACACCCACACCAGCACCAGCACCAGCACGCCGACCAGTCGATAGCGGCCACCAACGGCCACGGGGGGGTGGGCACCAACGGGGGCGGGTACAACTTCAGCAGCGGGGAGCGGATCGACGGGCGGAGCCCCAAGTGGCTGCGTGTGTGGGGGGAGCTGTCGAGTGGGCTGGCGGAGATGCGCTGCGTGGCCTGCCTGGGCACCAGCGATGTCGAGGACGCCGCGCCCTCGGGTCTCGACTACCCTGAAGGAGTCTCCATCTCCTCAGGTGACCTGAGGCACACAGGGCTCGGCACGCTCAGTCACTTATAGAGACACCGACACACCGCCGCGCACACATGCGCTGCGTTCTGTTTGTTGCATCACTCACTCAGGTATCGTGGCTCGTCACGCGTATTCGGTGTTGGGTTGCCGTGAGGTGGGGGGCCATCGGCTGCTGTACGTCAAGAATCCGTGGGGCTGCATACGGTGGAAGGGCAAGTTTGCTCCGGGCGACAACATCAGCTGGACACCGCAGATGAGGAGGGCACTCGACTATGACCCTGAAACACAGGTGAGGTGAGGTGGGTCGGGAGAGAGAGATAGAGAGACGCGTCGAGCCATGCCATGTGTGTGTGGGGG